GCTGCCGGCTCCAAGCCAGAGACACATTCTCCCCCCTCCCGGCATCTAACCAGAGCTCCCGGCTCCCAGCCAGAGACATCCTCCCTCAGCCCCCCCATCATCTAACCACAGCCCTCTGCTCCGGGCTCCCAGGCAGAGACACATCCCCTCCCCACTGGCATCTAACCAGAGCCCCCTGCTCCCGGCTCCCAGCCAGAGACACATCCCTGCCCCAGGGCTCCCAGGCAGAGACCCACACAGCTGGATGCCGAATGCCAGCCCCAGCCCAGGGCTCCAGCTTCTTTCGTTTATTGTAAAACCCAGGAGAACACAGGACATTGCAGCTGGGGTGCCCCCCCCACTCAGTGGCAGGAGAGCTGCAGAGAGGGTCTCCTACCCCCCCCCCCCACTGATGGGAACCTCAGGCCGACTCCTCCCCTTCCCAGCCCCTGGGGCTGCAGGAGACTCAGGCCAGTCCCTGCTTTCACCTCAGCGCCAGAGACCTCCCACCCCCCGGTACAAGTTACCCTAGTGACAGAGCCCCCCAGCCCTGCCCGCTCCCCAGCCCCCCAGCTTGGGGTCTGGGCTGGCCCCGGGGCGCGGCACCCGCCCCACCAGCTGCAGCAGGCGCTGGGTGAGATAGAGACTGGCAGGGCGGTGCGACAGCAGCTGCAGGAGGGGGTCCAGGCCCAGCGAGACCGACAGCACCTGCAGAGGGGGCAGGGAAGGAGAGAGGGGCTGTCAGGGGTGCAGGGCTGGAGCTGCCCAGGGCTCTCCCCTCCCCACCTGTGCCCCTAGCCCAGCCTCCCAGCAGGGCATCCCTCCCCGTCGGCAGGCTGCCCCCCGGCTCACCTTGCCGCTGCGGCACACCCCCACCAGGCCGTGGCGGGGGGGGTCGGGCACCGTGGTGAAGACGATGTCCCAGGCCAGCTGGACGCGGTGCAGGGGCTGGGCGGTCTCCACGTCGGCCAGGAAGAGCAGGGCGTGCTTGGTGAGCACCAGGGCCAGGCCCAGCCGTGGGGCGAACTGTGGGGAGGGGAGGAGAGGGGCTGGGTCACGCACGCCCAGATAGCCCCACGCTGCTGGCAGGCACCCCCAGCAACCCCCCTCATCTCCCCCAGGGACCCACCACACACCCTGCTCCTGGCTCACCTGCACGGCGCTGGGGAAGTCCCCGGGCCGGGCACCCTTGAAGGCCAGGCTGGCGCGGGCACTGAGCAGGGCAGCGTTGCCTGGCTGGTGCGGGCCCAGCTCCACCACGTGGAACTGAGAGAGAGGGGGGGGGTGGTCAGACGGGTACAGCCCTTCCCCAGCCCCCATCTGCCACCTGCCTGCCCCCCACCCTGGCACTGCGCTCTGCTACCTCCACTCCCGCCCACCCCAGGCACTACCCACAACCCTCTGGGAGCCAGCCCCCACCTGCCCTGCCTTTCCTCTCCCGCCCACCCCAGGCACTACCCACAACCCTCCGGGAGCCAGCCCCCCTCCACTCCTGCCCACCCCAGGCACTACCCACAACCCTCCGGGAGCCAGCCCCCACCTGCCCTGCCTTTCCCCTCCCGCCCACCACAAGCACTACCCACAACCCGCCAGGAGCCAGCCCCCACCTGCCCTGCCTTTCCTCTCCCGCCCACCCCAGGCACTACCCACAACCCGCCAGGAGCCAGCCCCCCTCCACTCCTGCCCACCGCAGGCACTACCCACAACCCTCCGGGAGCCAGCCCCCCCCAGTCACACACCTGCCCGTAGCGCTCTGCCCCGTGCCGGACGGCGGCCAGCAAGGCGGAGGAGGGGTGGGGGTTCCTGGAGAAGCTGTGCCGGGGCAGCGCCACCGCCTGGGCCTCGATGACCTGGGAGAGCCGCCCCCCCCGCCAGTACAGCTGGGTCAGCCCCACCACCTGGCCCTTCTGGGGAGAGACACGGGGTCAGCCGGGCAGAGGGGCCCCTGGGATTCTGGGGGCAGCTGGCGGGGGGGGAGGGAGGGGTGTCCTTACCTGGTCCAGGCCCAGTGTGGACAGCGCCAGCCAGAGCCCGCTGGCGTCCTGCTGGTATCCCACCACCTCCGTGCGCCACAGCTGCTCATGGCGCCAGAACTGACGCCGCGGCTTTGGTCCTGCTGGCCGGGGGGTACAGACTAGAGTTAGGAGCTTAGCGACCGCCCCTCACGGCAACCCCTGCCCCACGCTGACCGGCCACCTCCCACGGCACTCCTTGCCCGACTCCGCCCCACGCCGACCAGTCCCCCCCCCCCACAACACCCCCTGCCTGACTCCACCCCACGCCAACCGGCCACCCCCCCGACAGCCCCTGCCTGCCCCCTGCCAACCAACCCCCCTCCCCACAGCATCCCCTGCCCAAACCCCACCCCGCTGACCAGCCCTGCTCCCCACAGAACCCCCTGCCGGACCCCCCCCATGCCAACCAGTCCTGCTCCACAGGACCCCCAGGCTAGCCCCCCATTGACCAGCCCACCCTCCTCCCAGGGCGCCTGTCAGCTCCCCGACGGGGGTGGCCTGTGGCATGCTCACGGCTGAGGGCCCAGTGGAACACCTCCTCCTCCGTCACCAGCGCCAGCGTGTTGGGCTCCAGCCAGGCCCAGAACTCCAGGGGGTGGGCAAAGGTCCACTGCCAGCGTAGGCAGCGCTGCGCCACATCGAACACCTGTGCCACACAGCCCGCTGCGGGCAGAGACGAGTCAGCGCCCCGGGGCCCGGCCTGGTCCCATGGCCACACAGCCCGCTGCGGGCAGAGACGAGTCAGCGCCCCGGGGCCCGGCCCGGCCACACAGCCCGCTGCGGGCAGAGACGAGTCAGCGCCCCGGGGCCCAGGCACATGGCCCATTGGGGGCAGAGACGGGTCAACTGAGCCATGGGGGAGGTGAGGATCCCCATTGGGGTGCAGTGTGGCCATGGGTCTCAGGGTCAGGCCGGGGCCTCTATGGAGAGTTGATGCTATTACCAGTCAGCCCAGAACACCTCCCACCCTGTTCCCTGGCCTGGGAGTCTGGCCCCTGCTGCCCCCCTCCTCGTACCCATGAGACCCCCATACCTCGTAGGGCCAGCAGGGGCTGGCTGGGGTGGGCCAGCGCACCCTGGGCCTGGTGCAGGGGCCAGCTGTGGGTGGCTGGGCCGTGGGGCTCACGCAGGTCGAGCAGGGTGACTCGGGCCCCAGCAGGGTCCTCGGGGAGGCCATGCCGGACACAGAGCCGCCAGGGCGCGGAGAGGGTGACGCGAGGGTAGGTGATCTGCTCTGAGGGGATGCCGTGGTGCTGCAGCTGGGGGGAGAGAGGGGTTAGAGGGACACCAGCACCTAGGTCATCCCCCCCACAGTCCAGAGCCTTTCTGCCCCCAACACAGCTGTGCATCTCCAGGGGTCCCCCAGCCCAGGGTCCCCCCTTCTCCAGACACTCTTCCCTCAGGGATCACCACTCCCCCACCTTCCCCAACACAAGTCACCTCCCAAAGCCCTCCACTGTGACACCCCAGAGCCCCCTTCCCTTTACCTGGGTCAGCACCTCCACTCGCACGGGGGACTCACCCATGGCTGAGGGGGCAGGTCAGCCTGGGGGCAGGGAGCTCACCCCTGGGGAGGCCCCAGGCACCCAGCTGTGCAAGACACACTTCACCCCAAAGCCCTACCCCAGGGAAACCCCCTCCCCCTGCTCACTAGCTCCCTACTGGGCCTCCACAGGGGTCTGATATATCCCCTCCCCCCGGCACTGCCTGGCCACACCCTGGTGCAATCAGCGCTAATGAACGGGTGGAGCCCACCCTCTGACAACATCACAGAGAGCAGCTTGGGACCCAGGAGTCCTGGCTCTACCCCACCAGCCCCCACTCCCCTCCCAGAGCCGCAAGAGAACCCAGGAGTCCTGGCTCCCAGCCCCCGTGCTCTAAACCACTAAACCCCACATCCCTCTCAGATGCATGAGAGAACCCAGGAGTCCTGAGTCACAGACTATGACTCCCCTTCCCCCTGCACTGGGGTTCCTTCCCAGCCCTTCCCCCCACTTCTCTCCAGGACTCTCAGTGGGGCACACACGGTGTACGGGGGCCCCCACTCCCCTACGTGCCACCTGCTCTGGCAGGGTCCCAGCCTCCGCGGTCTGCATCGGGGAACAGGCCCAGCGAGTGTGAGAGCTCCAGGGATCGGGGCCTGTATGTGAGCCAGCAGCCCGGCCAGGGCCCTGGTGTGAACTGACCCCTCAGCCCAAGGGCCTTAACTCCGCCGCAGGGCAGTGGGTCCCACTGCTCACAGCAGTGGGGATGGAGCGAGATCGGGGCCTGTCGGGCCGGGCGCGGCGCAGACCCGCAGGGAGCGAGATCGGGGCCCATCGGGCCGGGCACGGCACAGACCCGCGGTGAGCGAGATCGGGGGTCCCGTTGTTTGGGGCGCAGGGTCTCAGCCCCTCCCATGAGAGCAGGATGTGTCTGTACACAGCCGAGCGCTGGGGTGTAGAGCCAGGGAGCAGGAACTGAAGGGGGAGGGAGTGGTAGAGAGCTGGGGAGGGGCCCAGGGCTGGCAGGGGCTGCGGGTCGGAAGTGAGGGGCACCGCAGGGCTGGGCTGGCGGGGGGCTGCGGGTACGTCCATCTCCCTGCAGTGCCACAGACCCACGGACTCCCCCACCCCCGATCTCAGCCCCAGGACACCCAGGTGCTGGAGCAATCCCAGGGCGCCGGGGGGATTATCCGGCTCGGCTGCTCGTTTCATTTAACGATATTTCCGGATTAAAAACTCCCAGGATTGGAGCTGAAGCCGCAATTTAATCTCAGCCCCTAATGACAGACAGCTGTGCCTGGGGAGGACAGGGGGACGGGCTGCCATGCTGGTGCCCCTCACTCCCGACCCGCAGCCCCTGCCAGCCCAGCCCTGCCCCCCCCGCTCTGCCGGTGCCCCTCACTCCCGACCTGCAGCCCCTGCCAGCCCAGCCCTGCCCCCCCAGCTGTGTCGATGCCCCTCACTCCCGACCTGCAGCCCCTGCCAGCCCAGCCCTGCCCCCCCAGCTGTGTCGATGCCC